GTAAGTAGTACATTGTAAATCAATTTTATGTGATTTCTTCTTCTGAATAACTCACTCCCAGTTTGAGATTTATAAACTTATCAAAATCCCATCTGAGTTTTAAACCATGTACGTATACCGGGTACGTATTGAATATTCAATCACTATATTGCATGTACATGATAAATAATAAACTGTTTTTTAATTCAGTATTTGCGCCATAGAGGCAGCAGTTGTAAGCTACGTGGTACAAATTAATGTGTACCGACATGATGATAAGAACTGCTCTCCATACTAATTGCCTTCTATTATTAGAAATGCACGTATCGCAGCATTACACTAAAATAGCCGAAAGAGAGTCAGGGACTTCCAGTTTCATATTTTTAGAATAACAAGTAGAGTTATCTATCTTGCTTATATAGTGGCGCTGGAACCAGAACGGAAGTAAATTTACGGTGACAGAAAAGCGCTTTGCGCTGCGCTTAGCGCTTTAAAAATCAGAGCAGAGCAAACACAGACCTCTAAAACATCATAGGTGGAATCAGGTGCCATGGAGGAGTGAACATCCCCTGCTGACCGGTCACACCCTCCATGTGCTTCTTGTCATGAAAGGAAAGTTCAATAATTCAGTTTGTAAATAACTGCTTAACAATTAGTTTAAAAAACGTCAGTAAACATTAAACTTTATATCTTTTCATCTAATTTTTTTTTCAGACATAATGAGCAACTTTGTAAGATTAGAAAAAAAAGTTCAGACAATGGTTATGCTTGATATATCTAAAGTTTCAGCATTAACTATTCCTCAGTTCAATAAAATGACAGAAAGCAAGCACCTTTGTGTCTTTTATTGAGCATTTTAATTATCCGGGTTGGTAAATATTGATGTTTTACATCATGAATAAATATCATCTGTTCAATAATTCAATGTGTCTCAGTAACACTGGGTCTACACATCCACTGCCTTTTGTTTTCTTCCTGTTCTGTCCCGCTGCCTCTTCATTTCACACAGTCCTCCACCTTTAGTTCACTACCCCCTCCCTTTCTAATCAGTCATCTTCTTTATTCCCCTACCCCTTAGTTCATTCTTTTCACTTTACCTTTAAGTCCTTCTTTTAATGCCCTTCCCACTTAGTCTTTTTCTTTAAACCCCTAAAACAACAGTCCCCTTTACTTTCCCCTCCCCTCAGTCCTTTCTTCATTTCTTCCTCAGTCCTACTCACCTCCCTCCAATCAATCTTCCTTTCCACTTCACTCTCAGTCTTTCTATTTACACCCCTCCCTCTAAATCAGTCCTCCTCCTCACACACCCCTCCCCCGAAATCAGTCCTCCTCCTCACACACCCCTCCCCCTAAATCAGTCTTCTTCCTCACTTCCCCCACCCCCCGTATCCTCGACATCAGAATCCTGCGATTCTTTGGTTTCTTTGGCTTTCTTTATCTTTGCCATCAGCTCTGTTTGAAATGAAAAGTAAAACATATCAATTAGATATATCAAACAGATCAACTTTTTCATATCACATAACAGTAAGACAAAACTAGAAACTCTTGTTGCTACAGCAACAAAGAAGGTCTTCCGTTCACCTCTATTTATCTGTATGAATGAGCTTTTATCTATGTTAAAAAGGCATTTAATATTTTAAATGATTTCAGGAAAACAAACGGCCGGAGATGTAACTTACCAAGATTCGATTCTCGACGTTACTTTAGACAATTATAGTGTACTGTCTGAATTACATTTACAAAAATCATTTTTTATATTTATTTATCACTTTCTGTGACGACCGGAAGTGACAGTGAACGCATTTTACTGTATATCTGTTGCCCTTTCTTCATGGTATATTATTCATACATGTATAAGTTTAGTGTTTTGATCTGTTACAGTTTAAGAGATATCGTAATGTTATAAAAAAAAAATCACGTGACAGGAAGTAAGTTTTTGAAAAGATATTTGACGTTACTCTATACATTTTAGTGTGAATAACATGCCCTAAAATCATTTCAAATGCTCTTTTTATGAAAAAATATTTATGGGATAGTATGATACTAAATTTATGCAGTTTTTCTCTCATAACCGGAAGTAGTCGTGTTTGTTTCCAGTGGTACTGACATATTTCAAAACTACAAATAAGATGCTAAAATGTATTACTAAGAAAGATTCCATAAAAAATGAAATTTTTGAATTATTTGTTCACTTCCTGTGACAAACGGAAGTGACGGCTGACAATGGAAACCCAAATGGGTTTGCTTACTCGTCAAGGTCTATCACTCGTATAAGTTTGGTGTCTTAATCTTTTACCATTTACGAGATCTAGCTATGATAACTTCTCATTTTGAGGACAGGAAATCACGCAACCGGAAGTGAATTTTACAAAGATGTTTGACTTTAATGTAGACAGTTGCAGTCTGATAAACATATCCAAAAATCATTACAAATACTTTATCTATAAAAAGTATTTATGGGAAAGAAAAATACTCAAATTATGCAGTTTTTCTCTAATAACCGGAAGTTGTCGTTTTTGCTCCCGGTTGCTGGCATATTTCGATACTACAAATAAGATGCTATAATGTGATGCAAAAAAGTTTTCATTTATTTAAGAAAAACTTGAATTTTTCGATTTCTTTGATCACTTCCTGTGACGACCGGAAGTGACGTTGGACAATTTTATTCCAACTGGTTTTGCCTACTTATCAAGATCTACCACTTATTAAAATTTGGTGTCTTAATCTTTTACCATTTACGAGATCTAGCTATGAAAACTTTTCATTTTGAGGACAGGAAATTGCGCGACCGGAAGTGAATTTTACTAAGATATTTGAAGTTACTGTAGACAGTTGCAGTCTGAATAACATATCCAAAAATCATTACAAATACATTCACTATAAAAAAATATTTATGGGAAAGAAAAATACTCAAATTTTGCAGTTTTTTTCTAATAACCGGAAGTTGTCGTTTTTGTTTCCGGTGGGACTGACATATTTCGGAACTACAAATAAGATGCTATAAGATGTTGCAAAAAACTTTCAAAAAAGAAAAAGTTGAATTTTACGATTTCTTTGATCACTTCCTGTGACGACCGGAAGTAACAGCGGACAATCTTAACCCAATTGGTTTTGCATACTTATCAAGATCTATTACTAATATAAGTTTGGTGTCTTAATCTCTAACCGTTTCTGAGATATGACTCGGACAAAACTTTTTTGAAATCAAAGTACTGAAAGTACTGAAAAGCGGTTAGCATGCTTTCATCGAATATGTACAGTGTACAATAACAAAAAATGCATTGAATGATGATATTAAAGTAGGCATGCATATCTTTTTTCCAGTGTCATCAGCGAAGAAGCAGACACACTGAATTTTGTAGTACTTAACTAAATGGTATAACCAATAACATCCCAGACTGATGTCACAAATGTTTGTTTCAAAATACAGGAAGTTCAATTTCAAAAATTTCTCTCTAATTGTCTCCATTGGTGGCGTCCAAAAGTGCTCAGAACGAAAAAAAAATTATGTTGAAGTTGCAAATTTAATTGGCTTTCATGCTCTATTGATTCTGAAATTAGGTAACTGTAAAGGCTACTATAGCAAACAACTCAAAAAGAAAATAAAATGATAATTCAAATTCTTTAGATTAATTGATTTGGAGTACAGTACATCGATCTTTAGCTGGCTAGTCTGAGAAAAACGGATGGACGAGCAGAGAATTAATTAATTTCAGAGCTTCAGTTTCGTAGGCTCACTGCGGGTCAGCAGGTGTGACCTGTAATTGGGGATGCTTACTTCTCCTAGGCACCGGAACTTTCAAGGATCCGTTTTTCTTTTGAGACCGATCACTGTTCATTCTGTATTTTGATACAGATACTGAGTACATCTGTTTATTAATATTATGAACTATTTCTCTCACAGGAAGAAAGACAAGTAAACAAGATAATAAAGTTTTAAGAAATGTACATTATTGACTTTTCATACAATTAAATGTTCGAATAAGTAAATGGTATATGACAATTATTTAAAAAAGAGTCTTGCACGATATGTATAAACGAATATATACTGAGTATTTGGCAAATATTTTTCATGAAATATTGTAAAAAAAAAAAAACAACAAAAAACAAAAAAAAAAAAAAAAAACAAAAAAAACACCGTGTGAAAAGGAAAGTTGTTGTTTAATTTATCAGTACTAGTATTTTAAAAATTCAAAGGTTCACTAAAAGTCAGTGTATAACAAACAATTTAATTATCAATTGCAAGAATTACCTAGGTATCATTGTCACTTTCTTCAATATGTCGCATAAGCAATACATTGTTTTGTTTTTGTTTTTTACTAAAAACAAGTATGCGAATTTCTATCAATATGTCTGTAAGCATCTGTATTTTAATTTTTATTTCTTCTCAAAGGCTCAAAATGATAATTAACAAATTGGACAAATTCAAATTTAAAAAGTATTTTTACAACTTATACCTTGCATAGGAATTTAGCAAACTTTCAAAAATAATCATTCATTAGATATAATTTTCAATTTGTGCTTATCGTCAAGATTTTTCATGCCTCTTTTTTCTGTGCATATTTTATATCGGCTGATTTTTAGAAAAGGATCGAATGCCGATTAAATTTTTTTCTCCAATTTTTTAAAATTAATTTTAGTATTTTCAGGCTCCCATTATTTTTTTTTTAAATAAAAATGTGATCGTTTAAAATCGTTTGTAATAATTAGACTGAGTACAGAATTTATCCCTGGAAACAAAGCTTTTATCATCTTTTAAATAATTTCAATTGAGAAAAAAAGAAGAAAACAAACGTTTCATTATGGAAGTAATCCAAAACTGTACAACTTACAGATGTATTCAGTATTTTTATATAAAGGCTTTCTTCGTGTACTAGTATTACTTAAGTTAATTAAAGGGATGCCTTAATATTTTGGAAAATGAAACTCGATCGAGAGATTCTCCGATGTTTTGCAGTCGGTAATAACCTTCAACCCCTTTAGCCAGTAATTAACCCATCCTCCCTGTGCCCAGTAGCATAATTCGGTCAAATATTTATTGTTCATGAGGGGTGCCTTATTATTAATCACAGGCACCTGAATTTTTATCAGCAAGTCTCTAAATTAGCCAAATATCGAAACATTCTAGCCCTTCTATATATAAATACACAAGGTGTCCAACGCCATTTTGACCACCTGTTCGATTCAGGCTTCACTTTAACACATAAATCGGAAATGCCTATTGGTTTTCGTGTAGCATTGGGTTCAAATATGATATTTCTCGCTATACATTTCTTCCTAAAGTTTAAATCTAACGCGTTGATAATGTTATCAGCTAAACTTCATGCTGACTTCGAATTTCGTCACAGGGCCCGATCGCCATCAGCTGATGTCACGGAAATTTAATCTCGACACCAAATGCTCCTATATATATAAACTTTTTTTAATACAACAATTATAAATTTATTTCATTGACAAACAAAATCAGAAAAAAATTAAAAAACCGAAAGATTATGTTGTTTTGATAGTCTTGATTTTATTTAACATATGTTATATGTGTTAGAAACAAATCATAGGTACTAGGTAGAGGCTTTGTTGAAGTTTCCGTTGTCGATAGGTAGCGCCTTATGGAAGTTTCCGGTGTCGATAAAAATCGGACACATGCCATAAAGCGGTTAGCGAAGCTAACCGCTTAAAAAGCGGAAATCGGACATATCTGACGACCAGAAGTGAATTTTGAAAAACTGAAAACTGCATTTGAAAGATATTTCTATTCTCTATCATCCCTGAAAATTTCATGAGAATCTGTCCAGTCATCTCAGAGAAATCGTCAAAAAAAGAAATCTCAAAAGGGGAAAAAAATAATAATAAAAAGAAACAGTAGAATCACTATAGGCCTTCCGTGTGAAACGTAAGACCTTAAAAATCAAAACACTGCCAACTAGCCTTCTTGAACAAAATTAGTTGATTGCTCTCTCCCGACTGACTGGCTTTAAACTGACTTGATTTTTTTTCTAACCGCCAGGAAGCATTTATTTTTCAGTCATTCCTGGAATATATTTTGAAAATTCAGCATTGATGTCAAAATTTACTGGAAAAAATTTGTCACCTGCCTATCCACCCATTTTTTCCCCCAAGTGTGGAGAGGACAACATGAACACTTTAACAAAACATTTAACCTTGTCTGTTTCCAGAGCTTAAAATGGGAGTTATAATATCAACAATAACAGTCAAGATCAGGCATATTGAAAAATTAAAAATATAATGAAATATTGATATTCCATTTTTAGATAAGTGTATTTTACATCCCCTCTTATGTACTGATATCATTAGCGGTGTACTTTTAAACCTCTCTCCATTAATTATGTACAGGAATTGATCATACCTATCGGAATGTATGTCAATCAAAAGCAATCTCTGGTAAGCTGCTGAATGTTATCAAAGGATGGGAAATCCATACAATATTTAAGGTTATATATATTGAAACAAACATGAAAACAGTTTATTTTTTGTTGAAAAATTCTAACAAGGTTTAACGAATCTTGATAGTTGGTAGATGTCTGACTATTGTGCGTCTGTGTTTTACTGTATATATGTACATATATTTACATTTCCAATGTCTTTGTCCAAGATAAAATTACCAATTGTAAATGTACTTTATTTCCCCATCCATGTATTAGCGCGGTTCAAAAAAAACCACGTGCAGGGCGGGAGAAACAGCTAGACAGAAGCAGGGCTTGGAGCACGTGGATTGGTGGAATCAAAGCATGTAAATAAAAGGAATAACTGTCAGGTTTTTCAATTTCATGAAGATGATCAATCGATTGGCTTGCGTGATAATTTTATGCATAAACGCCTTTGGCTTTTATTGTACGTACTTATGTATGTACTGTATACACTAACCTCTAGCTGGGTTGGTGTGTTTTGTGTGACTGTGTTTTACTGTATATATGTACACATATATACATTGTATGTACTGTATACACTAACCTTTAGCTGGGTTGAAGACTCCCATTGTTTGTTCATTACACACAAAACACCTCTTTGATTTCTTGTACTGACTTAGTGCACACTTCTCACAAAAATAGTGCTTACATCTGAAAGACAACAAAATGTTGAATAAACTTATAATCAAATTCACTCTATTTCAAATCTTATTGCCCTCAAACTGTACCATGTATACCATGTATACATTTAAAGGATTACACTTACTTTGTAACCACTGGATTAGTGAAGTACTTGCGACAGAATTACACTTACTTTGTAACCACTGGATTAGTGAAATACTCTCGACAGATAAAACATTTAAAGGATTACACTTACTTTGTAACCACTGGATTAGTGAAGTACTCGCGACAGAATTACACTTACTTTGTAACCACTGGATTAGTGAAGTACTCTCGACAGAATTACACTTACTTTGTAATCACTGGATTAGTGAAGTACTCTTGACAGATAAAACATTTAAAGGATTACACTTACTTTGTAACCACTGGATTAGTGAAGTACTCGCGACAGAATTACACTTACTTTGTAACCACTGGATTAGTGAAGTACTCCCGACAGATAAAACATTTAAAGGATTACACTTACTTTGTAACCACTGGATTAGTGAAGTACTCCCGACAGGATTACACTTACTTTGTAACCACGGGATTAGTGAAGTACTCTCGACAGGATTACACTTACTTTGTAACCACTGGATTAGTGAAGTACTCCCAACAGAATTACACTTACTTTGTAACCACTGGATTAGTGAAGTACTCTCGACAGAATTACACTTACTTTGTAATCACTAGATTACACTTACTTTGTAACCACTGGATTGGTGAAGTACTCTCAACAGAATTACACTTACTTTGTAATCACTGGATTAGTGAAGTACTCCCGACAGATAAAACATTTAAAGGATTACACTTACTTTGTAACCACTGGATTAGTGAAGTACTCTCGACAGAATTACACTTACTTTGTAATCACTGGATTAGTGAAGTACTCTTGACAGATAAAACATTTAAAGGATTACTGTATAGGGGATTAATTTCACGGGTTGTAATTTTCACGTTTTTCTTTCATCTGACACGATCGCGGTTTCTTGAATTCGCGGAATTGATAAAAAACAAAAGTTACCTCCCTGGTCTATATCCCGTTTAGCTACATGTAAACGACATCAACAGGGTAGGTTAATATAAAATTGTTAGAATAAATAAATAATTGACGATTAATTAAAACAAGTGCAATTATAAAACGTCCTTGCACATTACGATGAGTGCATGTACACCCCCAGATCTGCAATACAACGTTAATGCGGCGAAAAACCACTGGGCGGTAATAAATGTTTTAATGTAGGTCATCGAAATAATACCCTTCCAAAATCTTCAGTAAGTTCGATAGTTATTTGACTGTTTTTAAAACGTCGATAAAAATTAATATGCGTGTTAATGCAGGTAAATGTAACTAACACACTTGGTAACATTAGTAACGCACGGGTAATCAAATCCATGGCCCACGTGTTTTGATTGACGAAACATGTAGTGTTGGCTATTAAAACAGCTTTTTAACAAATACAGCTGGTTATTATCTGCTGATTAGAATTAAAGTATAGCGTGGTAATTAAAATAATTGAATGACAAGTACTACTCGTAATTACTGAAATGACCATATACTGCACGTACATGTATATAAACCTATCGTAGTTTATTCTCAAATTTCCAAATAAAACATGGAGATTATTAAAAATTTATTCACTGTTTCTTGAATTCACGGATTTATGAACACCGTGAATATAGCGAATATAAACACTGCGAGTTATTTTCCCCCTATACAGTACACTTACTTTGTAACCACTGGATTAGTGAAGTACTCTCGACAGATAAAACATTTAAAGGATTACACTTACTTTGTAATCACTGGATTAGTGAAGTACTCCCGACAGAATTACACTTACTTTGTAACCACTGGATTAGTGAAGTACTCCCGACAGAATTACACTTACTCTGTAATCTCCGGATTAGTGAAGTACTCCCGGTAGGATTACATTACTTTGTAACCACTGGATTAGTGAAGTACTCTCGACAGAATTACACTTACTTTGTAATCACTGGATTAGTGAAGTACTCTTGACAGATAAAACATTTAAAGGATTACACTTACTTTGTAACCACTGGATTAGTGAAGTACTCCCGGTAGGATTACATTACTTTGTAACCACTGGATTAGTGAAGTACTCTCAACAGAATTACACTTACTTTGTAATCACTAGATTACACTTACTTTGTAACCACTGGATTAGTGAAGTACTCTCGACAGAATTACACTTACTTTGTAACCACTGGATTAGTGAAGTACTCTCGACAGAATTACACTTACTTTGTAATCACTGGATTAGTGAAGTACTCTCGACAGATAAAACATTTAAAGGATTACACTTACTTTGCAACCACTGGATTAGTGAAGTACTCTCGACAGATAAAACATTTAAAGGATTACACTTACTTTGTAACCACTGGATTAGTGAAGTACTCTCGACAGATAAAACACTTAAACGGCATCTCATCCTCATCACTACTGATCTCATAGTTCCCT